TGTAAAATCGATCATAAGAATGAAGAATAAATGTTTCTGTTTTTATCTTACTTTTGATAAACAAAAACCAACAATAAAATCAGAAACCGGGTTTAAAATGCATCAAGAATAAGCAAAGAAGAAAAGTGATAACATATATATACACACACACGCACACGCACACACACACACAAACACACACACACACACACAAATGAGACAATAACTGTAACTATTGCACTTTCATATAAACAAAAGAAGAAATAAAAGAATATGAAATATTTATCTATATTTAAGTATCAATATTTATTGTTGATTTGGTTCGATCATTGAATATTTCTTTAAAAGCATCAATAAGACGTTCAAGTCCAAATAAATATCCTCTATCTGGACCTAAATGATTATTTGATGCTGTAGTTTCATCAGTTGTTGAAGCACATATTGAATGAGCAAAATCGATCATACGTATATCAATTCGATTCGATTGTGGTAAACCATCATAAACAATTAAAAGACTACCACTATAAAAACGATATTTAGGTAAAGAATTTATTGTTTCATATAAAGATTTAAGTCGTTCAATAATTTCAGGTACAATATCAAGACGTTTTATACGACCATTATTAAAAAATTCTGCTAATTCTGAACGAAAACCTTCAACAGTTAATATTCGTCCTCGGTATTTATCAGTAAACATAAATCGACCACTATCGATTTGGTAAACCTAATCAAAATAAAATTTTTAATATTCAATTTGATTTGAATAAGAAAAGCAACTTACCTGCATTCCACATAAACGTACACCTAATGTTGATGAAGTTGATGATGCACATTTTTGAATTTTTGATTGACGCTTTTTATCAGAATCAATATCAGCATATTGTCTTTTACCCATTTTTAAATCAAGTATACATGGATGACGAAATCGAGCTGTAACATCTTCTAATAGCATATATTCTATAAAGATAAAACAAGAGATTATTAGAATTTAAAAATATTTTTAATGCAATGATCACGATAGAATTGAGATTAAGACTCAAGTCTAACTTTTCTCTCGATATGTAGATGCTCGTATTAATTTAGTTATAGGGATTCCCAAAATTCGCCAGTGGCATTATGTGATTACACATATGTAAAAATAGCTCCTAGTAACTATAGTGAAAAGTTTAAACTATGGTATGCTTATTCTAATAATATTAGGTTAATTTTCCACATGTGTTCTATACTAATCTTATGTTATTACAGTTGGCGAGAATATACTAGTATTACGCTAAATGACGCCTGAAGTTTCGTCAATCGCGAATGCCCTATTGACGAATAGACAGTAAGTCTTCTAATACATGTACTATGTATGACTAAACTTCACATGATTCAATAAACTAAAAACATTTGGGTTTGAATTTAAGGAAGTTTATTTTTCAAGGTCAAAAAATACTTGATTCTAAGAATTGATTTTAGAATAGAATCATTAAAATTTCTAATACCTTTTAATTTTACAAATAACTTAAAAAACTTGTAATATATTTACTTTGTGCAACAGTAACATATCCAGCATCCATTAATTCTTGATGTAATTTTTCAGCTTTCTTTTTACATAATTGTAAACTCCAAGGATTTATTTTTGATATGATTGTTTTTCCTTGTTCATAATTAACAATATCATTTCCTATACTATTCGAATAATCAATATGTCCATCTTTTGAACAACGTAATCTATTCAACAGAAGAAAATCATAAGAGAAAAAATATATAATTAGAAAATTTCTAATACTAACTGTACGGATTTTTTTGGATTATTCGTATCGATTGATTGAGGATCAGTTGTTATTGATATATTTTCTTCATTTGATATTTGATCATCATCTGTACAAGTTGTTTGTGGTCGAGCAATAAGTTTAATAAAACCGAATTCATCTTCACAATATTGTACTGATATAATACCTCAAAGAATTATTAAATAGAATTAATAATCAACAAGAAAAAAACAAATTTTACCACGAAATTCCGGTGTAAATTTTTTTAATGAATCAGGCATTGATTGATAAAAATCTAATTCCGGTAATTCTAATACTTTACAAACAGTATCTTTGTCATATTGAAACATTGATGAATGACCGCCAACCTTTTATTTTTAAAAAAACAAAAAAATTATTCTTATTATCAAATTAAATTTCTAAAAAGAATTACTTGATGAAAAAAAGGCGATAATTGTATCGATGATTGTTGAGTGTTGTATTCGCATTCATTCATTCGGACCATGGAATTTAATAGCAACAATAGAACACAATTCAGTTGTATATAAACACATAGACAGAATAATTTTATCTAAAATATATAGTTTAATATTATACTATAAAACAATCCAGTAAGTACATTGAAAAGAATATACTCATTATATTGCATATTACATTGAGATATATATATACATATAACGTGTAACCATGGATAGACAAAAGACATGATAAACGAAATCAATGATTATATGTGATTGCTTATTACATTTCGTTTTTATACTGTCAATGAAACGCAAATATTCACATTACTTATTCGTCCGATATATACGAGAGACACACCTCTATTTTGTTCAATCTTTTTTTTATACATAATATTATGAATCATTGAAGTACATATTGTCATTTTATCAACCGAAATAATGTATTAAAAATGTATCTATGATCTATTAAACATATATTCTATCATATAAGATCACACACGTTTATATCAAAGGAAATATTATATTTGATTGATTGTATACTAAAACAGGTACATAGTACATGGACTTGTTCTGTACGATAAATCATACTCAAATGATACCATAGAGTTCTCTCTTTATCCTCCAATTAATATAATATTTATATATATGAAAAGTTCTTTTTTTATCTGTCAAATAACAACCAATCAAATTTAACTAAAAGAATCATAGAGGTTTATACTAAGCAATGAATCGATCTTATGGCGTTTCTTTTATATTCATGATTAGAAATTTTATTCATTTAATAATAAAAAGAAAATGCCTTTATATGAAGTATTTTCTCATTCCGATCGATTTCATTATCGTGCAAATTTGTTTTCATTAGCAACATGTTTTGTAATTCTTTGTACAATATTAACATTTTTACCACCATTTCTCTTTGCTTATTTTGCTGAAGGATTTTGGATAAAAGAAGGAAGTTATAGTGAACAAGCACGCGTTAGTTATTCTGGCTATATTGTCACAATTGATTATACGAATTCGGTAGGAAGCCAAGTTAAAATTAGTTCATCTTATGCACCATTAAATACAGCTTTTCGTGATGCTTTTATTTCTGGAATAAATAGTTTAACATCCAATGATACAAATGGAAATGGTATTGATAATCAATTTTCTATTGCATTTCAATTCCCTTTTGATGATAATACTATTGTTATTAATAATATTAATGTTTGGCTCATATTTCAATATGAATTACGAGCTAGACAGTATATTAATATGAAAACAATGGCATTAATTAACCTTTATTCTAATGGGATGAGTTTAGCGTCTAATCCAACGGTAACTGCAGAAGGAAATTTAATATTTCAACAGCGACAACCAATACAAAGTTCAGGCAATGATATAACATATAATCAATCAATTATTGATACAGATAGTTTACTTGCAACATCACCAATAGATTTTAATCCTATCTTGAATACTTATTTTAAGAGAAAATATTATACATCATATCAATCAGAATCTTTAAAATGGGCATCTGGTACAACGAGTACTGATTCGTCATTAAATATTAATATAACAATTAATGTTAATAGTCAATCTATAAGATTCATACCTGGTTTTTGGCAAGAATTTAAATGGGGTTGGATACAATATTTATCTGTACTTTTACCATTTATTATGATATTTAATCGAATAAAAGAATTTGTTTTTCAAAATCAATTGGTACGAACATTAGTAGATATGCCTCGTCATCGATATAAATCTTAAAATAAACATTTCATATTTTTATTTGTTCTCTTTCTAAATCTATGTGTGCTAGGCTCAGACAAAAATAAAAAATTTTAAAAAATACATTTTTGTTTTTATTTGGAATAAATAGGTTTTTTTTCTATATTTTCTATATTTTCGAGGTAGAGATAGAATATCATTTAGAATAATCGATAGTATATGAACCGAGAATAAGTAGCATTTCTATAGATAAATCACTTACTATATTGTCTAGCTCAATAATTCTATTAACATGATCGAGATAGATTCGTTCTGTACTTAATTTAAATTTAATAGTAGTGCATCTTAATCAAATTAAATTTTTTTGCTTTGCGAAGAGTCTTGCATTACCAGTAGTATACTAATGATCATAACTTGTTTTATATCATATTTTTTGTTTATTATAAACGAAGCTTGTGTGTTCTAACTTTGATATATGTACTATTTGTTTAATAGAGCTTATCGATCTTTTATACAATGTTTGTTTATATGTATTTGAGTAATTCAATTGCAAAAAAGTAATAATGAGCGGTTTTAAATAGTAAGTCACCATATATAAACGCTTCATTGTTACCAATGTATACCTTCGAGACTAAACGATATTACCGAATGCATTATAAAGTTAAGAAGACATGTACATTAAATGAATTAATGGTTCAACTTCTACTCTCTTCTGTTATTATAAAACAATTTCGGATATTATTCATAGATCATTTAACGTTCTACATCATTAATCTTAACCATTCAGACGTCCTTGTGTTTAATAGCCATAACTGTATCGGGATTAAAAAAGAACCTTGTGTTGAAGGTAAATCATCAATATACAAAAAGTATTTTATAATTTTCATTAGTCAATTAAAATTAAACATACAGTTTTATTATCCTTTTTTTTGTTCATATGGAGACTAAGAATAATATAAAAAAGAAAGAAAAAAAACGAACAGAGAAAGGTCATTTGTGCTTAGTAGTACTCGACTATATATCTACTAAGTTTTATCCTTGGCTCTAATACATATACAAATAAATCTTAATTTGCTTCTTTTTTTTGTTGAACTTTCTATCCTCGATAATATTCAACTGGTTTAATTGATTCTTCATCAGCTAATGTTGTATCATTATCAATACTTCGACGACTACTGCTATTCCTTGAATTTCCTTCATAACTTCGTACAAAAGCTCGTGCAACATTTGATGTATTAAATGATGATACACGTTCATAATCATTCGGTATTTTTTGTCGATTTCGTTCAATATCATCATGATAATTATGATCATGTGAATGACTTCGAAATAGAGATGGACGTAAACGAGTATTTTGTTCTTGTCGAGCGATAGTATCACATACAGAACAACGTGCAGATAATGATGTTGTTTCAATAGCTCGTTGTTGTTGTTGTTGCTGCTGCTGCTGTTGTTGTTGTTGTTGTCGATAACGATAAGAATCATGAAATGATTTTGCTAATAATTCAGCTAAGATACGTGCACGTTTACTTGTTTTACATAATATAACATGACATTCAAGTTCATTTGTACGTGGTGAACGAGCAATCCATGCAAATATACGACGATATAATGGTTCAGCAACACAATAAGATATATCTTCAATACCATCTGACCAAACATTTTTATATGTTCCATTAGCTATTTCTTCATAAATAGATAAACCAAATGGATGTATTGATATAGCACAACGATTATATCGTGAACCTTTTTTTGAACGAGTCCATACAATACGTACAGGTTCCTTTAAAATTAAATATTTATTTAGGAAAAAGTTATTTTATAAATACAAGGAAAAAAAGAATAACTTACAATAGCTACACCTATTCCATGTGCATATAATGAACGTACTTTCCCGAGATATTTAACTGGTTGAAGATTATCATCATTTCCACTCATTGTAAAAAAAATTTCGAATAGAGATATATCAATATGATAAATTCTTTCTTCTCTAATCGACCTTTTATTAGTATGTGTCTCATTGATAGGTTTTTTTTTCTTTGTTCACTGATCCTAAAGTAAAGCTTTCGAGTAAATTAAACAATTTGATGATGAGAAGAAAAAAAAGAGACAGAGAAAAAGAAAGAATAAAAACGGATACGACTATATACTAAGTAAATGAAGAAAACGGGAATAGAGATGTATAATCGTAAGTAAACTTATTTATTTATATGTATATACATATATGTATATATGTTAGTAGATCGACGCGACGGATGAAATTTCTGTTTTTATCAATTAATTATGTGTAATTCTATTGAAATTAATCTATGGGTAGTTTCATAATTTTGCAAAAGTTACTAAAACTTTCAATGAAGTGTGTATCGATGAAATTTAGTAACATTAAAACTCAATGATAAATAAGTCATCACCCTCAAGAATAGCACACAAAAAATTTTCATAAAATTTGAAGATAGTCTATATGAATACGATAAAGTCTTATAAAATACTTCATAATTAAAATCCAACTTGTCAACTATTAAGACAAAATTGTCTTTATACTAGCGCGAATAAATCAATAGTACTTGTTATTTAGAGATTAATTAAAAGAATATAGTCTAATGGAAATACCAACTAATTCAACTATCAATAATGATACTAATGATGAATATTTCATTCCACTTGAACCTAATCATGCTCTAGCACTAACGATGAATTTTCCTCAATTTCCTGAAGTAAATCATTCGAAAACTTCAGAAATTCAAGCAGGTATATTTATATTAGTGATCATCATCTGATTAATCTGTTTTAATGTTACAGACTTTGATTATGATTGTTCGGATTGTGTGGCTGATCTGTTTGGTCCTATAATGGCTCCTTATGCAGCTTTACAACAACAGACTGATGATTATCGTCGTCGTTTAGAACATATTGCTTATCGACGTTATATAGCTATGAAATCGCATTTATTAAATTCATTTGAAAAAGATTTTAAACAAAAATGGAAACGTACATTTAAAGTAGATATTTCGTACTTCAAGAAAATCAATATTTTCTTAATTACTTTTTTTTTGAAATAAATAGCATCCATTTAAATACGATATTAAAGCTGTATGTGACACATATTTATAATTAAAATTATTATAAAAATGTTTAGTTTCTAACTCGAATAGCTTCGATAGGAAGATACATAGGAATGATTTCAAGTGGATGGATTTTCGTAAAAATTAAGGAAAATAAATATTCAAAACTTTACAAATTATATTTGTTAGATTATTGGTTTTAGTCTTCTATGTTTTTCAATATACTTGATCCTTGTTAGTGATCACCGACAACCTATGTTAACATTTATTCGTACATTTAGTAAATTTTATAGAACATTCTTTTTTCAAGGAGTTTGTAAAAATATGAATCATTCAATAGTAAAATTTTTTATGAATTTCTAATAGATTATTGGTTATATAATATTCTACAGTATGCTATTAATTATTGCAGCATTATGTTCATCATTAGGAGCATTTACTTGTTCATTTTTGTTGACTCTAGTTGGTATATTGAATATTCTTATAGCTTTTGCATTATCTATTGTATTACCAATTATATTATATATAAACAGACAATCATTAATAGATAAATTAGAAAAATATATGCAAATTTCTATTAAAGATTTTGATGATATAACAGATAATCCTATAACATTATTTTGGAATGAATTACAAGAAAAAGTAAAATATAAATAAAGAAGAATCAAATTTTACATATACTTTTTTCTTAGTATTCATGCTGTGGATTAAATAATTCAATTACAGATTATCGGAACAGCTATTTTCATAACTTGTCTGGACGTGATGTACCACAATCATGTTGTCGAGCTAGTGAGTATAAATCTTCAAATATTATTTTATAAGATTTTCTTTTTCCATTATAGATATTCTTTGTTCAATGAGTCCAACTAAAACAAATTCATATATAGATGTATAAAATATATGTTTACTTGTTTTCAATGTCTACAATCTTCATTCCTAGATTTCATGTATTCCACAAGTCAAACATTTCATTGATTCAACAATGAAAATAACTACTATTGGAGATATTGTTCTCATTATTCTTCTTGTACGTTGTTATATATTATCTTTTGCAATATCAATCCATATTTTAGTCTATTGCTTTAATTAGTATTGGACTTTTTTTCATTCATATTAAATCTGCAAAACAAACATTAAATGAACATAATGAATTTATTATTAAGTCAATGTTATCAACACTTGAACAATATGAAAAAGAACTTGGTGGTGTTAAAAATCTTCCATCCGATGAAACAAATTTTCATGATAAACAACGTATTCAAGGCATTTTACCAATTACTCCAACTGTTGTTCGTGTAAAAAGTCCTCGAATTATAAATTATCTTGGTTTCAATTAATTTCTTACTTATGACTTCGCAATATTAAAGACTGAATTTTGCTAAGTGATTTGTCAAATCTGAGACCAGATTATCCTATGAGTTCATTGGTGAATCAATTCTTTTCTTACTTTGAGTCGAAACTATAGACATACACTTAGTAAACTGATAAAGAAACACGAAATTTCGTTCTTCTTGCTCTTTGTCATAATGACGTAAGTTTCTTTCTATCAAACAAGATAACAAAAGTAACACGACCGTCGAGAACATATGATGAAAAATAAAGTGATGACTAAAATTTGCCAACAAAGTTTTTTAATTTTTATTATATTTTTTTTTCAAAATGTAAATTGTCGTATATTAAATCCAGCAATTGGAATTTTAACAGAATCAAAGATTTATCTTGCAAAAATTAAAGAATTTGATTATACACATGATGATCTTCATTTAATTTATCGTCATCATGATCCTGTTTATCCATTACAAACTTTTGCACCAAATAATATTATACATAGACTGTATATCTGTTCACCAAGTACTATTTATACCCTTGATTTACAAGTTGGATCACATATTGTACCATTTTTACCTGTTGATGATACACCATGTCGAGCGAATTTAGTATATTTATCAGGTCAAACAACACTTCTTTGGACATTACGTCATACAGTAATGTTATTTGATTTTAATGAAATGTTTAAAGAACGTCTTTGGAATTCAACATCTCCGATTTTAAATATGATATATAATGATACAGATATTGATAATAATGCAATGAATTTTTATTTAAGTGTTTCAGTTGCAGATCAACAATCAGTTGTAGTACATTGTCGTACTGATCGTCGTTCTCGTATAGTTCCATTTCAATCTTGTCTTTTTATTGATAGTGGTTATCATGAAGTATCAACATTAGCTTATGATGAAAATCGTTTGTATGTAGCTGATCGTATTGCACAAAAAATCTATGTACTAGCATTATTACCTAGTGGTTTTGTTTTATCAAAGAATATTTTACCATTGAATACAAGTATAGTAGCTGATATTCAATCTATGTTTGTTTATGATTATAATCTTGTATGGTTAACAACAAGTGGTCATGTACGAATTGTTTCATTGATAACTTATGAAGTACGAACTATTTTTTGGTTTGATGAAGAATTGAAAGCAATTCATCTTGTATCGTTTGGTCAATGGCCAAATCGAACAACAACTTCGACTACAACTACAACCACAACAATAACAACAACAATAACAACGACAACGACAACAACTACACAATCAACAACAACATATTCAATATCAACAGAAAAATCTACTATTATAACAACATCACCTAGTGAACATATTGATACAAGCACAATCGATAACGTTCATAGTCCTTGGAAAGCAACAACTTTTGTAACATCTATTATTTTAGGTATTGCACTATTCCTTTGCGCAGCTATGGTCACATGTGTTCTACTCAATTATCGCTTGGGACGAGTTGTTCCAAGTAGTTTCACTAATGTATTACATTTTCTACGTAATCGTACACAAACAGCATCAACAGCAGCAGCAGTAGGACCATCATTTTTCGAAGAATCACTTACATAATCTATGCATTGATATTATTTTTTTCCATGTTTTCATAAATCTTTTTTTTGTATCTATTTTTTTATAAAAATTAAATTTTTGAATAATCACGCATATCTAATATCAAATCCTTCTGAAAGATATTCATGAATGATCATCATATCTTAGATATATTGATTATGAAACAGAACTAAATAATGATAGTTACATGGAGTATAACTTAATACTCATCTTCTTTTTTTTTCTAAATAAAGTTATTTTGGACAGGATTTGCCTTAATCCTATATATCCGGTACTTATAAACAAACATTTATCAAATCCCGGTCTATGGAGTAGAATGACATTTGACAATCATTATTGTATTGGAAATATATATTTCAAAAAAAAAGTCGAGTTCTTTTAAAATATAAGCTTCATTTTTATGTATCAATAAAACAATTAATATTATCCATTTTTTGTCTTGAAAATATTCCGGAATTTAATAACCGGTTAATTCTTCCGTGCAACTATCTATGAATATAATCAGGTAATAGAAATATTCATGTGTATGTAAACGTAAAAAAATATTTCTTGCAGGGTTTTACCCATACTTTTTTATGATTGGTTAAAAAATGTAAACTAGTAATGCATTAGACATATACAGAGGACCACGCCCATAATCTTAATACACAATGGCGATTGTCGGCTGATGACGATCATTTATTCATTAAAAAACAAGTAAAAACCACGGCCAATAATTTTTCTATTTTAATTACTATCAGATAAAATTCTTTGTTTTTAGATTATTATTATCTCATATAAAATCATATGAGTTATTCATTAATCGATTGTATATAGCATTAAATGTGATTAAAAACCTTCAAGTTATTTTCATTATTAGATTCGAGTTATTATTATTATTATTATTATTATTATTATTATCATTATTTGTTTTTCATTTTTCTCCTCTTTTGTGCCATATTTTTTTGCTCTTTATTTTACTATTATATCAATTGAAAGAAGAAAAAGCCTATATCTACAAAGTAAGTTTTTGTTATCAACAAACTAATGTTTGTATATTGAAAATATCTGTGCTCTTTTCACCTTATACCTTGTTTTTTTTTACCCTTTGTATACAACTATATAACCAATGAGAAAAAAAAGTTTTTTTTTCCTGAATATATTATATCCTTGCACGCATCAATAGATTTTTACTCCAGGTGTACCACGTGATTTATATAGCTGAAATATTTCTTTTTTATTGTTTATTCACAGAATGTCTATGCGATAGAAAAGTATTTTGTAACGAATGGATGATATTCATTTAATATCAACATCACCACCATCATCATCAGCAGCAAATCTCAAACCAAATTGTTCACCTCGAACTGATACATTAACAAATAATCGACAACGAGCAGATTCTGCATCTATTATTCAGCAATCTGATGTATCATCGTCGAGACCAGCTCTACTAGCACATGATGCACTTGGACCACTTCTTTTTGAGGTATGTCAAAACAAATTCCATCTTTTTTTTCTTCTTTTCTTTTCTTTAATCTTTTAATTTTGACAGAAAAGGTAGAAGAACGAGTAATAGTAATGATAGTCATAGGAAAAATGTAGTTTATGTTAGTTCTTTTGTATGTCAAGGAAAAACTGTGGAGGAGTATATGAATGAATGAACGAATACTACTAGTTTTTCTTTGTTTTCTTTCTTTTTTTGTTTCTGTATGTGTGTGTTGAGAGAATAGCGATGACAACGACGAAAAAAAACCATCTTGCTACACACTATATTATGTGTGTACGCGCGTACACGGAACATTATGCAGACTGGATCAGAAGACAAAGAGAGAAAAAAAAAACGTTTGTAGTCGCTATTCTACTTGTTATGTCTTCTTTTCTTTCCTTCCTTTAATATATTCGTAAACGCACAAGCATATTCTATATAATGATGTTGGTATACTATAGCTGCTGCTTCTGTAATAATGTTTCAAAGGCTATTTGTAAAAGCAGAGTACTAATACACTCCTTTCTTTCTTTTCTTTTCTATACTTCTAACATGAAAAAGATTATCGGTTTTTGACTAGTAAAATATATAAATACATAATTATGAGCATGAATGCACTGTATATATTGATAAAATTCAATCAAATTAATCGAATTTTGGTCTTCATTTAATAAAGAATACACTAGAAAAATCATATATATGATATGAATTTATTTATTTTTGTTCCTTTAGGCTCTGGATGGATTTTTCTTCACAATAAATCATAATTGTGAACTTGATTTTGTAAGCGATAATGTTGGACAGTATTTAAAATTTTCTCAAGTAATTAATTCGATTTATTTTGATAATTGCAAAACATAAATAATTCATTTAGGATGAACTTGCTGGACGTAATTTGTACTATTGTGTACATCCGAGTGATGTTGGCGAGTTTAGCAAAGCTTGGGCAAAAAAAGATGCCGGTTAGTTAAATCTATTAATGATCTATATTTTTTCATTATATCGAATTTTTTTCTAGGTGATTCATTAGCTCCAACTGCTAATACTGATCAATCACAAAATGGTCAATCGCGGGGACGTACATTCCTTTGTCGCATGCGAACAAATGATGAATCTTCGCCTTATCTTACAATGCTTGTATCAGTTGCTCTTCATCGTGATCCATCGGGTAGTGATAAAACATTTCTAATATGTATTGCTCGTCGACCACCACTAAATGAATTACAAGATAAACCAGCATTACTTGGTTTCGATCAATTTTCTTCAAGAATTAATCTACAATATGATATTGAAAGTTTAGATTCAAGGTAAAAAAAACAAGACAAAACGTTTCTTTAAATTGAAATATATTTTTCTGTTCAATTTAGTCATATGAAATGTGAAACAATTGATATGAATTTTAAGGGAAAAAATTTTCGAGATTATGTTTATGATAATGATATCCCATTAATTAATAAACATTTTCAAGAAGGTAAATGATTTGACATTTTCTCAAACTTGAGTTTAACTACGTTACATATCCATTCTCTTTACAAATATTATTATTTGTGTAAAAACTATACTTTTCTGATATATAATTAGAATATCGCTACTAATTTCATACTATCGAAAATATAACGGAAACTACAAGAAGTTCATCTTACTCTCAAGCATTTAACTCGTATAGTTGTCATAATATATTGAATACATCAAGATTATGATCTTTTTTCCCTATCAGAATATAAGCTTAGTTATGTACATGAAATAGTTAGATCTCGTTTTTAAATCCTTAGTCAGCATTAAATTAATCATTTTCAATCAAAAAAGCAAAAGTTAAGAGCTGAATTCATAGGAAACACCCTCACCCAAACTTTAATTCTCTTTTTTTTACTTTGACTGTAGATAATGATACTATTATACGTCATTGAAATAGATACTAACATTGGTCTTTACAGAAACTTTTGCATAATAAATAACGAGCCAGATGTTTTAAAACAGTTGACACACATTTTGTTTTCGATATTGTTAATAGTAAATGTAGCTTAGAGACTTAGTTTCCTTTTCCACTCTCTAAGTTTCAATAATAAATCTAGTAATAATCATAAAAGTCAATTCAATATCTTTTATCTATTCTAGTTGTCGAAAAAGGTGAATCCAAAAGTGCTGTCTATCGTTTTTGTCTACACGATGGTATATATGCTTTTGTTAATACTCAAAGTAAATTATTTTCTAATACAACAACTGGTAAATCTGAATCAATTGTTTCTACTCATACAATTGTTCGGTAAATAAATCAAAAAACGAAAAATTTTGTATAACTTATAAATTACTTTTATATATAGTTTAATTGATAATATCAATGATTTAAATGGAAATGCATCAACACGTTTAATGAAAGCAATTATTGTATCAAATCGTGATCTACAAAAAAATAAACAACAATCATCATCATCACCATCATTATCATCATTAAATAAAGCTCATACATCATCGCCACAAACACTATCATTACCATCACAGTTACCTCCACCACAAACATCGACACCACCCATTGGCACACAGTTTGCATTAACTATGCTAGGTATGCATAAGAATGCATCGAATTCATTACAACAACATGTATCAAGTACTTTGAGTACTTTAAGTCAAGTACAAAATTCTTTATCAGCACCAATATCTAGTCCTAATGATAAAGCTCAACAACAAATAAGTATACCATCACCACCAAAACCAAATATACAAAAATCTTCTACACTTGATAGTAATTATTTTCAATTTCTTTCAAATTTATTCTTAATTATGTTTTGTTTTTATAGCTGTTTCATCATCGGATACTGTTGAATTTGGTAGTAAACGAACACCATTTAGTCCTTCATTAGGTTTGAATTAATAAAACATAACAAATTTTTCTTTTATCTAATTCTCTTATTTATGTGTTTAGCTCATTCCAATCATGGTAGTGTTTCTTCACCTGCTAATTCGTTTGATTTATTATTTACATCTGTATCACCAACAAATGATTTAAATTCATTTTTACCAACATGTTCACCAGCTAATAAAAAACCTTTATCACCATTACAATTAATTGATCCACCATCATCATTACACTTTTCTAATAGTGATATATATACAACAGCATCAAGTCCAATAACAACTCTAGCGCCATCTATGCAAGCAACAAATCAATTACGTAGTTCAACACGTTTAAGACAATTACTTGCAACAAAATCTCCACCATCAACAACACCAAGTCCACATTATCATAACGAAAATAAACTTCATTCAAATACATTTGATGATCTTATACAAGTTGCTGAAAGTCCTACAACAACACATGTATCACCATTACCTAATGATTTACCATCACCAACAAAACGTCGACGAAATCCCAGTCAAACAACAAATGGAATATCAAATAATAACAATAATACAAATGCAGCATCCGATATACTTCTTAAACAAATTTTAGGACGACAACCACCTATAACAACATCATCATCAACAACACTCAGTACGTTGGATGTTAATACACCAGAAAATAATTCCAAATGGTCATCACCTGCTTCTGTACCGATTATTAAAACAGAATCAATTGCTCATGATGATAATACATCAAATGGAAAATTAACAAATACAAATAATACCAATAAATTACGTAGCGATACTTTTCTTCGAGTAAGATAATTCAAATTATTTTCATAGATAAAATTTTTATTATTTTTTTCTTCTATTTAGACATTGTTGAATGATGAAGTCCGTCCACAAAAAGTTGTTGTTGAAGCTCCATTTGTTTATAATTCTCGACATAAATCTAATCTACGTGCATCAGGTGGTACAACTCAATTACTTGGAAATAGTAGATCATCATTTGGTAGTAATGCACGTGCATCATTAAAAAATCAACTATCATTACAAGTAAATAATACATCTGATTTAACATTATGGGATCAAAAACCAAAGAAAAAAACACGACAACATTCACATAGTTTTGGTAGTCGACCTAGTGTCATAGCTACTGTTTCACCATCAAGAAAACCTGGAAGACCAAAACGAGAAGTAATTTATTTATTCGTAAATAAATATATATTTATTGACTGTTTTTCTTTTACTTTTTAGCCAACTGATTATCTTCTAGCAAATCCACAATCGACATTATCAGATAATTCATTAGATTCATTTTTTGAACCATCAGCAAATCTTGACCCACCATTAACAAATCATTCATCACCTATTGTACTACGTCGTACGACACGAAAATCATCATCATCAAATATGACTACAACGATTAATTTAAAACGATCTATGGATAATGATGATCAAGTACATATTCAAAGAAAACTTCCAAAATTACTGGCACAATCACTTAAAGATGATATTAAAATGGAATGTCAAGATCATACAATTATTTCACCATCAGTAGCAATTGCGGCAACACGTCCACTTAATCAAGTTAGTTACATTTTGTTTTCCACTAAACAAAATCTAATTTACTTTTTCTTATTTAGCTTACTCCAACAACAATAAAAAGTGAACCTGATATATTCGATCGTAATCCATTACCAACAGCATCAATTAAAAAACTACCAAATAATTCACAACCAGCAAATAGTCAATCAAAATTATTACGTTCATTAATTCGTACACCACAAATTCCATCTTTAACAACAAAAAAAGATGCACCACTTTATGATCTTTTACAAAATCTTGATTCAAATGATCCATCAGTATTTTCAACAAATAATAATTCAACTGATTCGCTTGAACAATATCCGACATCATCATCAGCATCAAAAACTTCATCATCAAAAGATGATTATCTTGCTGCTTTATTAAGTTCTGATCCTCAACAACCTAATGAAATATCATTTATTCCAGTTAATAAACAACAACAAACGCCAACATTTAATCGTTCAACATCAAATTCAAGTGATAGTAGTCGTATAGCAGCTATTGTTAATGATTTATTTAATTCAACAAATACACCATCAACAAATACAGGAAATAATTCAAGTGATGATTTCTTATCTTTATTAGATCATAGAGATTTTCTTGAGGTAATTTTTAATACAAATTCGATTAAATACATATATATGTATATTTATTTATTTTTAGTGTCTAAATGATCCAACAACAATTGATTCGATTCTATCCCAGAATTCAAATAATATGATAGATTCACCGTTTTCCTCAACAACACCTAAACGTAGTGAAAAAGATGAAAAAGCTATTAGTGAAATATATAAAACACTCGTTACTTCATTTAATCCCGGTAAACATATTTGTATTTTGTTCAATAAATCTATGTTTAGTAATAGACTTTTCTATTATTTAAAAATAAAAATCTCATTCAATTATAATTTGAGCAAATGTTTATTTAAATAATTCAAAAGAAAGAAAGAAATCTATCTTTACATACAATTATAAGAAAAATAAAACGACAAGAAATTTTAAATGAAATAAATCATTCATTTATTTATTATTCTGTATTTTTTAGGTCCATCCTCGCTCGATTTATCTATTGATCATAGTCCTTTCAGTAATTTATTCTTTTTTTTTATTATAAAAATCTTTCATCTATACTTTTTAGGCTCTATTACCGGTGACTTTTTATTTGCTGACAATATGAATATGTCAATACCACCAAATCGAACAGTTCCTCCTGATCCATCAATGCCAATGTATCGACAACAACAAACGACTTATACATATCAAACTCCTCAACAACAGCAGCAGCAATCATCATCAAATGTAATTATTTTTCTTTTCTAAATATATTTTATTTTATTTTATTTTTAAAATTTTAGAATTCTCAATTTTCTGATTGTCTTCCAATGGATATAATGGATAATAATACATTTCCACCTAATGTATCTCTATCACCAATGAATACTTCTTATCTACCATCAGCAAATACAACAACAGCAGCAACGCATATGGAAACAAATCCTATGATGATGTATTCTCAACAACCACCTTCACATATTCAACATCATCAAGCACAAAATCAAATGTCGAATACATTTTATCGTCAACCATCTCAAGCTCAACAACAAACAATGTATAATAATTTTGGTCAACCATCACTACCACCGAATCAAATTGCTCCCAGTTACTATCCAATGCAACCACAACAAACTTCATCATCATCGCAGCAACAACAGCAACGAATATCAACTGGTAATCCTTCGCCACAAATAAATAAACGTCAAGCTTTACTACATCAACAACGAACATCACAGCAAAATAATCAACAATTACAATTACATATGTCTATGAATGTTACATTGCCACATGTAAATTTTGTCGTTATTGTTTTGTGTCAATATACATGTATATTTTGTTTTTTATAGATGACACCAAATCAGCAACAGCAAACGCAGCAGCAGCAACAGCAGTCACAGCAACATCGACGTATGTTCTTTCATAAAGAAAAAATATAAAATAAAATATATTTTCTATTTATAGCTATGATGAATACATACAATGATTTAATGATGCCAAATGGTAATAATACATCATTGCAACAAGATTTTCATCGATTTTCACCATCCGTGTCGAATAATAATCCACTTGATCTTCCATATAGTCATGATCTTTTTATGTCATCATCGCCTGCAGGACCACCACTACCGCAACAACAACAGCAGCAGCAAAAACCACAAAATCGTCATATGAACGTAATGCAGTCACAGCAGCAGCAGCAACCACAAGTTCCTTCTTCACAGATGGCAACGAATCAGGTATAAGTCCTAAAATAGAATTTTTCTGATTGACAAAAAAATCTTAGAAATAAGAGTATCAACTTTAGTTTTTATCTATATTAAATTATTTTACAATGAAAGAAAAAATCGTATAAAAACAAGTATTAGAAAATCTTGATAAAAATATCATTTTAATTGGCTTTTAAATCTAGCTATAATCTGTTGAATTCAGCACTTAAACGTAATATTTTAATATAAGAAACTTAAATGATGGTAAACAAAGAGAAATGAACAGATGTACTCGATAACCTTCGATTGTCACTTGTTATTCCGAATTATTTGTGACCTTGAAAAAAATTCTCATCTTATCTCTATATAGTATTTATCAAATATTTTAATCTTTCTTACTAAAAAAAACCTGTATCAACTTAAGATACTTATGAATATCATGATACACTATAATAACATAAATATTTTTCAACGCAAAAAGAATCAATCGTGCTAATAGGCTTTGACTTATAATTAAGATCAGTGCTACGATCGTTGGCAGTTAAACTGTCTTTACTAAAAACAAAGATTATTATAACAAGAAATTACTACTATCAACTAAAAATTATCGGAATACGCAATTAGTCAGTTTTATAAATATCTAATATTTTGTTATCTAGATTTTAGATACATATAAAATGTAGTATAGCAAATAAAATGTGAAAAAGAAATTGATTATATACAATTAATTAGTGTGCAAAGTTAATGAAAGCAATTATTTACTATCGGAGTTGTAAAAAAACCCAGTCAAATAAAATGGCGAGAGACTTGTGACCTTCACTATTCAAGAAAAGGGGCTAGGCCACAAGATTCTAGCTATTTTGGTCGACTGTCGTTTCTTAAAATTCAAAGATTATCAATAGACCTCTAGAGAGGGAAAGAAACGATATATCAGAATAAATAATCAAAACTACTATAGTAGTACAATAGAATTTCTATGTTTGACTGAAAAATGACTTATTGCTACTATATCGATTAAGAAAAATGTTTTACTAGTTGTAACTCTAATCTAAATTATGAATCAGATAACAAGTTGTATGTTATCTTGATTTTATAGCTTTTAATCCTTTGATAACAATAAATAAATATCGTCACTATACTTTGTATAATAATAGTTTCTACGTAAAAATCATAACGTTGTGCGTAAAGTGTTTCTTAGACTAATGGAAAATTAAAAAAAACTAAATATCAAAATTCTCAAGGTCATTATCTGAATTGCGAAGAAATAAAATAATTTTTTTATCAGTAAACATCATTCGTTATCTCTTAACTCTAACCTATTAGTAATCTCTAGAAAATCAGTATATAAAACCGTCATATTTAATCTTTTTATCTCGTCATAGAAATCAGTTTTCATTTGAAACTATGTTTTTGTCTTCTCTAACTTATTTTCATTAGTCTATCACACACAAAAATAAATAGATGTTATCGCTTACCGCTCATTGTATGTCTTCATTATTATTAATATTGTTATTGAATCTAAAAGAAAAATAACATATATATATATATTTCTTCATCAATAGTCTTAATAAAAAAAACATTGTCATCACTTTTTGTGGTAAAAAAAACACAAAATTAATAACAAACGTATTTTTAAAGGACATTTTTTTTCATTCGTAATATGTTTACCTGTTGCTGAGTGCAATAATGGAAAGAGATAAATACATTGAAATAATGCACTTAGTAAACCAGTTTAATGTTCGCAGATATAGCATCGAAGAAAAACAATAGATTTATTTCGTCATCTAGAAAATTATTTGAATTAATCGAAAATCGTAAAACGCACTTAATATATAAACGAGAGAGAGAGAGAGAAAGACAAGAAAAATAAAAACATATAGATATATATATACCAATAATAATGTTATTCATATCTACTTTGATAGTAATAAACAAATAGTATATTCATTGATTCATATGTCCTTGTAAAATAAGAAATGACTTCGTTCTATCTAGGATCTATGGGGAGTTTTTTTTTTCTCTATTATCTGACATATCGATAAATAATAACGAATCACGTCATAGATTTTGCGTCGTTTATATAAAGAAAATATATTTATAGATGATTAATGTAAGAGTGAACGAGTTTATTTTTTTTTCCTTTTCTCTACGCATAGAATATAGATAGCTGAGAATAGATTCTAGGGACATTCTATTATATGATGAAAGTTCACTCGTTCTATATTCAGTATTATAAAGTACATTCAATAAAAAAAAAACATTCTAAATACATACTTATAATAGATGACGAAGGAAGAATATATACACATATGTATATATATATATATATATGTCGTATCAGTTTTTAAAATCATGACCTTGCTTATATTCGTATAAAACTCAAGGCAAAGAGAAAATGCGCGACCAAGGACACTGCCATTGATTACAAGGTTATTTCATCATAATTATTACCAAAACGCTAACTCTTTTGGTGATGTATCGATCGACAGTGATCTAATTGAATGTAATATGCGTATGTGTAAAAGCGACCAGGAGTAAGAAGAGAGGAAAGAAAAAGAGATTCTCATTTCTTTTTTTTCTTCTTTCTCTCTCTCTCTAATGTCTCTATTCAAGGTCTTCGAAAGAGAAGTGTTCTCTTCAGCTTGATATTCTCAAGGTCGTATTTCGTATAAACTGGATCACCCTAAATATTCTCCAATTTTTTCATATGTCTTTTTAAGTTGAAATCTTATATAAATTTTTATTATTGAATAAAATAGCTGGAAGAAATGTCATATGATTCCTTCTTTGTAACGGAAGTAATGATTACATAACTGTGAATGTTGTATCGTATGTTCAATATTAATTCGTCATCGTGCATATATATATATATATATACATGGGCACACACCCTAAAGAAAGAACGAGAGAATGAATGAATGAATAAATGAATGAATGAGTGAATGAAGAAGAAGAGGTCAAGGTGGTAGATGAACGAGAGAAAAAGAGAGCAAGAATTCAGGTTAATCAATTGCTCACATAATATTTGCTTGCTACTATTGACATGATGATAGATATCAAATAAAGAGAATATAGAGATATAGGTTAGTTAATGTCCTTGAGTTTGTTTAAGGCACTGATCAATTTGTCAAACGGAATTCAACAGATTGAACCCGAAGAATAATTCATTCCTTCCTTGTTCTTTAGTCTAATGATTGTGTACATGACCAAAATTGAGTAATATATATATATACATATAGTGACTGACATAGAATATGAATTGAACACAAACCTAATTCTTATTCACTAGCGGATGTTCTCGAGTTGCCGTTCTCTTATTCGCATTTGTGCTTCTAAGTTCAAGGCAACATTTCTTCTTCTTCTCCTTTTGCCTCACATCGGTCCAGAAGACCTTGACACTACCCGAATATAAGCACAAATTAGTAGAGAAAAGAGGGAACAAGAGAGAGAGAGAGAAAATTTTTTTTTGATGATAGAATAATTCCATATATTTATTTTATTTTTTTTTTTAGTCATATTCTAATATGAATGTGGCACTATCAACAACTCTACAGCAAAATTCACATAGTATGTTACAATTCTCTATTGATAAATATATAAATATTTTATCAATAAATCTTATCTAGATTCAAACAATCTTATGAATCCATCAGTACCCAATTTAACTCCTGCCGAATGTCGTCAATCCGACGAATTAAATAGTCAAATGATGAATTGTTTGAGGTATGAAAAGAAAATAGCGAATGAATTGAAATTGAAAATATCTATAATTATATTTTGATAGTTTTCAACCAAATCGTTGTACAAGTGAATTTGTACGTAGACAATTACAAAATACAATTCATGGACGACAGAAACCAGCCGGTGGAAAAGATGTATCTGCACAAAAAAGTATGTTCAATAAATACAAAAAAAAAGATTATTCAGTAAATTAACCGTCTATTTATTTTTTTCCTTTCAAGTGATGACATCACCAAATCTTGATTCCAGTAAGTTTACAAATATTTTCATATATATATATTTAATTTATCCTTGTTTGTCTAGATCAAAAAGGGGCTTATTTTCGAAGTCAATTATCAGCTCAAATGTCAACTCCACCATTACAAACAAATCTACGATCACAACCACAACATCAACAACAAAGTAAAACAACAATGTAATCCTCGATTAACCAAAAAACGACATCATTCTTTTCTTTTCTTTTCTTTTTTTCGTCTTTATGTCTGTTGTTTTCTTGTTTTTTATGCATTCGTAAGTTGTTAGTTGTAGTATCATCGTATACATACTATGTATGGGGGGAATGGTTGAGATTAAAGAAAGATTTGTTCGTTTTGTTGTTTTTTTTTCTCTTCTATTTCGTTTCAAATTCCTTTTTTTTCTTCTTCTTTTTTTGCTCATCTTTTTTTTCTTTTGTTTCACACTCTTTCTTTTTTAGCTATCGTCCGTATTTTTTTTTTCTCTTCAGTTTTTTTCTTTTTGACACATTTTGTGTGTATTGTAACTATGTTTGAAAAAGGTGATGCTGGCAGTCCGACATGTGTAAAAAAGACAGATGTGTGCGTGTGTGTTTATGTATGATTGTATGTACGTGCGCAGACAAACAAACCTATTCTTTTTCTTCTAATTTTTAAATACAATTTTTAGTGGATACGGCCGCAATTGAATTTTTATTCAATGAGATTTATATATTTAATTAGATTTTATAAGTTAAACTGAACATTATTATTATTAATAAGACGTTTATTGTATGGTGTAATATTCAACGAAAATATCATAGGCATGTATAACAAATGAAATTTCAATTTTTTTCTCTTTTCCATAGAAATATTTGGAAATGTCCAAAGATAAACATGTTAAATTGTTTACAAATATGACTCGTAGTTTAGTTCAATGGATTCGATATTTTGTCATTATAGAGAAATGAAATGTATATCATTTTGTGTTTTGTTTATTTCTGCTTGTTCTATGCATACGTGATAACATAAATAGAAATAAATCGTCGTCGAACAAGAACTTGTATAAACAATATATGGAAATAATTACAAGAATTATATAATTCTTTTCAATAAAATCCTCTTTCTATTTATTATGATAGATGTACTATGTGACGTACTTTTGCTTGACATGACCTAAAAATAAGTTAATATTCTTTTAAAATAATCGCCGAAAAAGATTTGTTTATTAAAAAGCATTGACGTACTTTTTTCTTTCTTTTTTTTGTCTTTGCCTTTAAACATATAAAAATATTATTGAAGTGTTTATCTTTGCATTTTACTATTATCTAAAATATAGAAAAATATTAATTTTCAAAAAGCATTATATATAATTCATATTTTATGTTGACAACAATACGTCAATGATTTAATATTCAACTAAACCTTATATACAAAAACAATTTAGAATCGAAAATCTAATGATAAGGCATATAACACGATAAAAAAATTTTGAACATGCTTTATAATTATTAACAGAATTTGTGAATATAATTTTTGTGTACCTAAAAAATGAGTACATTATAGAATCGATCAGTGTGTGCGGCCTTCCGTTCACACAATAACTTCTAAAAGACTAATTTAATTGTCAAGAAATTTCTTCAGAGTATTATATCATTATTTTTTATGCAAATACAAACTTATTCCAATTTTTGCAAATCAAAATATTGCAGTAGCTAACAATCATGAAAAAAACACGTATACTGACACCTTGTCTGTATCATAAGTATTTATTTTTTTTTGAAATAAATAGAACTTGTCAAGAACTCGGATCAATGGTATACCTTAGGGTTAAATACTGTATGTCTAAGATTTTCTCAATATTACACTTGGTGAAAAATATGAAAATTCATGGCATGCATACTAACATTGCTGGTTTTTATACAAGTTAATCAAAACCAATTTGTCATCAGCTACACTTTATGAAGTATACATAACACTTGGTATATATTAGTTTTTAAGAAAAATAGTAGATAATTAATATCCTATTTTAGTGAGTACAAGAAAAAGGTAAAGTAGTTTAACAAAAAACATTTTTTCATGTTCTATCATCAAACCTTAATTCACTTCCGATGTTTTTCTTGTTGAATGTGACGTAAAAATACTTTATTTTTTTTGTACTTATTATTAAAGATGTCACTCAAACTTGAAAAATTGTATTAAATAACAAAAAATGTTGAGTAAAATGAGAAATCTTTTAAAGTTATTTATTTGTTCTACAAATTCTTATTTTGCTTCATATTTATCAACTCGATAATAAAAGATATGTTAAATATGCATTTTTGCATCTTTTCGATAATTGATAAAATATCAAAAAATCAATTTTCTTATGGATGATATCGCTTTATTAAAATAATTGTTCTTAACGACTTTTTCAAAGAAGACAAAAACAGATTTTATCATCATTGTTCGATTTTACAAGAATCTAATTATTAGATTTATTGATTCTTTGATACTGGTGTTGTCTTGAGGATGTAGGTGGGTGAAGTTGCAGATAAGTTATGTATCCTACCACCTACTCTATATCCTGACAGTACATCGGTTTTTTCCAAGTTATAATGGTTGATTCACGTTTTCATGATTCATGACACTTGAAAAAGTAAGATAGCTATAGAGCACACATTATTTTTCTTCCTACGAAGTAAAAAAGAATATAATATTTCTTCCTTACAATTCGTTTAAATATCAAGTGAGTAATAGACATGTATAATTCAGCAATGGACGAAGGTAATATTAATCGTGATCGTATCGTTAATGGTGAATCAGTTCCTGAGGAATATTTCTGTCCTATTTGTCAGGATCTTCTTTGGAAGCCACGTTCATGTGCTTCATGTCAACATTTATTTTGTGAAAAATGTCTTCATATGTGGCTTGAAAATTCTACCAATGCAAATAAATGTCCATTTCGATGTCAACCATTTGAAGAACGTCGATGTCCTCCTTACGTTCATTCATTATTAGCTAAATTAAATATTTATTGTAAAAATGCTTCATTTGGTTGTACTGCAACTCTTTCCTATGATAAATTAGAACAACATGAAAAGAGTGAATGTCAATATTTAACTCAACGATGCTCTGAATGTGATCAATTAGTACTTGTTTCAAAATTGAATGAACATACACAGATACAAGGATTGTGTATTCCACAACCGATTAAATGTACCATTTGTCAGAATTATTTTCCCAAACATTTCTTTCAAAATCATTTTTATCAATGTTGTGAAATGAAAATTAATAATTTAATTGAAAGAACAAATGCTCATCAAACTTTACAACTGACCGCAGATGGACAACAAATACCAATAAATCCTGGAATGGCATTTTTTCAATCTATGTTTACCATGGTTCAATTATTCAAAGAACAAAGACAATTTTCACAATTACCAACAAGTTTAAAAGGTCTCAATGCAGTTAGACAAGCGGAAGAACAAAATCGTAGTTTTGTCTATCGTCTATTAATCACATTAAAATTTCTTCTAATTAATTGGTCTAAAATACCTTTCTTTATATTGATAATTACATTAGGTAATTTTCTAGCAGCCGGTATTCTTTCTCTTGGTTGTTTTGTTATTTTATCAAATTGGACTTTTATACATATTCATCATGGGTCTCCACTCCTGATTATACTTGTTTATCTTTTAAGTTATACAACTTATGTTTTACTACAAATCATATCCGATACGAACATCATTTTCTATGTTGGGCTTTGTACGTTTTTATTTGGTTGTTCGAGGAATTTATCAATCGAACTCCTAGAAATGAATATATTATTCAATAAACCAATAATATGTATTATCATGTGTTGTCTTCAATTATTGTTAATGAAAATAATATTATTATTACTTAGATTTTACTATTGGCTCATTCCAATATATATAGCTACCACTCTTGTTACTATTTTTACTTGTGTTTTGGCATATATATTCTATCGTATTCATGCAACTGCAGCTGTACCATCACCACCAGCAACAAATCGATTAATAATGCCTGTTTAACACGACAATGCTATACTTGCGATTACTGATCGTTTACAATTTCTCAGTAGACTTATTATTGTAGACATACTCGTAAGAAATATGTTCATATTCAATTCTAATAAAAAAGAACAAAGAATACATAAGGTTTTTATGGATATATTATTGTATTAAATAATTCTTTATTTTTGTTCTTTCAATTTTATTGTTAAAAATACAAAAAAGATTTCACAAACACATCTGATCTTCATATCACGAAAAAATACAACAAGCATTAATTTTTATATGAATATTTCGAAGAATTAAATGACTTATTATAGAAAGAGAAAGGAATTTTGATCAATAGAAAAAAAGAAGGGAAACACTAGAAGGATATAGAAAATTATACTTCCAAGAGTAGAAATCTTTCGGTTGCCGTTGTCTCTCCCACAAAATAGTTAAGAAGAGTTGAACAACAATGAGAGAATTAACTGCTCTTAGTCGTGATAAATAGAAATATAGTTGATCTGTTCGTGATGTGTGTTTGCGAAGATGCTGCATGTGCTATTTTTTGTTTTTACCACCTTTGGCTGCTGCTAAAGGTTTCTTTTCAACATCTTTGATAACACCAACAGCAACTGTCTGACGCATATCACGTACGGCAAATCGACCAAGTGGTGGATATTCAGAGAATTTTTCAACACACATTGGTCGTGATGGAATCATTTTTACCATAGCTGCTTCACCTGATTTAACGAATTTTGGTGCTTCTTCAATGGTTTTACCTGATCGACGATCGACTTTTTCAAGTAATTCAGCAAATCTGCATGCAATATGAGCTGTGTGACAATCAAGAACTGGAGCATAACCTGCGCCAATTTGACCGGGATGATTGAGAATAATAACCTAATTTAAATGATAAATAAAATTTAGAATCTAAAAACAGAGACTAATTTGTCTTACTTGAGCGACAAAGCTAAGTGTTTCTTGAGCTGGATTATTTTTAACATCGGATGCAACGAAACCACGTTTAAGATCTTTTACAGCGATACCTGCAATATTGAAACCAACGTTATCACCGGGTAAAGCTTCTGCAAAATATCAAAACATCACTTATAACATATATCGATCAATCAACAAACTATAAATATTTACCTTCGAGTGCTTCATGATGCATTTGAATTGATCTAACTTCAGTTTGAATAGTTGATGGAGCAAAGTTAACAACCATGTTTGGTCTGAGAACACCAGTTTCAACTCGACCAACTGGTACAGTACCAATACCACTAATTTTGTAGACATCTTGTAATGGTAATCGAAGTGGTTTGTCAGTTGGACGTGACGGTGGATAGATAGAATCAAGAGCTTCCAAAAGTGTTTTACCACTTGCATTACCTTCTTTTCGTTCAATTGCCCATCCTTTGTACCATGGCATTTTTTCACTTGGTTCAACCATGTTATCTCCGTGCCAACCTGAAATTGGTACGAAAGCAACAGCTCCTGGATTATAACCGGTCTTTTTGATGAAGGCTGATACTTCAGTTTTGATTTCATCAAAACGTTTTTCTGAATATGGTGGTTCAGTCATATCCATTTTATTGACAGCGACAATCATTTGTTTGACACCTAAGGTGTAAGCAAGTAAAGCATGTTCACGTGTTTGACCATGTTTGGAGATACCAGCCTCGAATTCACCAGTACCAGCAGCAACAACCAAAATAGCACAATCAGCCTAAACAATACAGAGGAAATTCTATAGTTAAAGATATTTTAGGATGAAATGAAGATATATACTTGTGATGTACCAGTAATCATGTTTTTGATGAAATCACGGTGACCTGGAGCATCAATGATGGTAACAGAGTATTTAGCTGTTTCGAATTTCCAAAGTGAAATATCGATGGTAATACCACGTTCACGTTCAGCTTTCAATTTATCTAATACCCAAGCATATTTGAATGTACCCTTACCTATCTAAACATAGATTAATACAAAGAGGTGGTTAAATTCGATAGAAAATCGAAATTACAAATACATACTTCAGCAGCTTCCTTTTCGTATTTTTCAATTGTTCGTTTGTCAATACCACCACATTTGTAGATTAAATGACCAGTTGATGTTGATTTACCAGAATCGACATGACCGATGACGACAATGTTAATATGAATTTGTTCTTTTCCCATTATTAAAAATGAATCAGTGATTTTGAATAGTAAAAAAGAATTTGAATTAGTAGAAAGCGTATGTGAATGAAAGTAATCGAATTTTCAAAACGGCGGCTTATATACATGACTGTCTTGCGCAAGATGTACAAAATATTCCAACGATGATGACATGTTTCATCTGTAGGGAAAAAATCCATAACTCTCGATGTAAAGTCTGTTGTGTGTATAGGGAAAAAATGCATAACTCTTGATGCAAAGTCTGTTGTGTACATAGGTAAAAAAATAAAGGAAGGGAGAAATACATAGTGATTGTAAACATATTGTGCCAGATGCGCACCTGAAAAAAAAGAAAGACGAAAAAATATTCCCATAGGAATAATTTTGTGGATGAATCATTGATCAAGTATACAAAAAGCTTGGCTGAAGTGCGCATGAAAGTTCTGTTTTCATTATGTTAATTTGAAAAAAGTTTTGATAGTATTTGATAAAAAAAATTATTCATAAAGAGAAAATGTTAAATGTTTAATCTTAATTTTCATTATAGATTATTTTCAAGCTATATATTGATAGCGTAAATGTAATACTAGACATTTTAATCGTACGAGGTGTACATCTCTATTATTTAGATATGTTTTTTTTTAAAAAATAAACATTTTTCCTACTTTTATTTGCCTATAAAAATAATGTTTTATATAGTGACAGACTGTACGCAAATATTCGAAACAACAACAAAAAATAATATATTACAAAATCAAAACTAGAGAACATACAAAGCTAGTTCATTTTCAAGATTAATCTAGTAGTTGCTTGGTACAGTTATCGTCCAATAAAATATCTTGCTATTCGTCGAAGTGCTGTTATGTTAATGAAATAGATGAAACACGGATATTATCGCAAAATAAAACGACAAATTATTATGCCTCTGTCAGAAATATAATTCATTCTTATTAGATTTTTAGCAAGTCTTGCTAAAATATTCATAAAAAAAATATTCATCAATCCTTTCATTGTCTCTCTGATTCATATCTAGTTAATGCGATGAGAAGCATTTATATAGTCCTTCGCAAGTTTTCTTGCTTTTCTCCTTACTTTCTCGACGTATGCATTCAGAGTGATCATTTCGCAACACGATTATCTTAGCAATGGAACATCACAAAATACTCGTTTAAACTTGAGATCAATTTATGGAGATCGAACTGCTACGATTCGTTTTCTAGTTTTCAACAGAACATTTAGGTCGTTTACAGAAAGCGTCGCAAAAACGCGATTTTGACTTTTTTTCACATTTTGAGATAATTAAAACGAAAATCAAAAGCAAAAGTTAGGCGTCATTTTTTTCTAACAACTGCTTTACAGCTGTTAATAGATAATGAATCATCTAGATAATTTTATGAAAACCTTAAAATCGTCAGCATTCTCGCCCATATGTGACGAAGAAAACGGTGTTTTTACGATCTTGAGGGTTTGGTTGCATCTTTTCTTAATCTTCATCCACCATCACACCCACACTCATAGACATCTATTCTGTCGTTCATCGAAATTTGTATCGAGAAGGTCGATCTATCATAATAAAATCCTATAGGATCGAGTTGTAACGAAAAACAATACTCATATGTTATTACAATACTGAAGTCTTTTTCCATTAACTAATGTTCTCTTCTACTACACTTAATATCATGACTGCATTGTATCCGATCAAATGAATTATGAGACTTACGGGAACGATTAATAGCAGTTAACGAAGATAAGATCTTTCTTTTTTATCAACACAGAACAAACCCTAAAATTCACTGTAAACTATACGATGCAATTTTTTATCTTTGAAAGACGAAAATGATAGCATGTAGTATTTAACCTTACGACAACATAACGAAGCAAATAATAAAAACAGATTTACTGTTGTCTGAGATTTTTTCGTCGAAAAACAGTCAGTAAACATATTTTTCATTTATGTCATTAAAATAAAAGATTTTTATTTTTGAATAAATATGAAGAGAATTTTTCTCTTTAAAAGGAGAAAACCAATCACACTGAATACATTTTCACGTCTTGAGGGTATAATCTAAAGTACACGAGCCCTATGCCATCGATCGACTAGCAGTTTTATTGACAGAACATTTTACTCATCGGAGTGAAAGCGAAATATTCAATATGTTTGGCATCATTTATTTATGTCGTTTTCACTTCGTTGCTTCTGAATAGACGGATTGATTACATTTTGTTTTTCTGTTTATTGACAAAGTAAAAAAGAAATATTTTTTATTCTTACTTTAGTAAAAATTCAACATACTATTTCAATCATGGATGAAAATCAGCGAAATGCTCAACTAGAAAATGAAATTAATAAATATGATTTACACTCAAAAATCGATCTATCTTTTCATCAACTTACCGATTATGATATGAATATTGTAATTAAACAAGCAATCATTGACAAACAATGTAAAACACTCTTATTAAATGATAATTTAATTAGTTCCGAAGGTGCTACAATTCTTGCTAATGCATTAAATAACAATAAAACATTGAAGGAATTAAATCTTTGGAATAATAAAATATCTGATGATGGTGTGTCGGCTTTAGCTCGAGTATTATCAAACAACAATGAAACTCTTCGAAGTCTTGCTTTAGGACAAAATCAAATTTCCGATGTTGGTATGCAACATTTAGCTGAAATGCTTAAAACAAATCAGACAATATCTCGTCTTTGGTTATTTTCTAATGAAATAACTGATAATGGAGTGAAAATATTAGCTGATGTACTTGTTCATAATAATCAAAATTTACAATGGCTTGATCTACGTTTAAATAAATTAATGACTGATTTATGTTTTGATTCTATTCATAATATACTCAAATATAATCGAACATTGAAAAAATTTTGGATGGAATATTGTAATCTTTCATGGCAAATTAAAGCAAAAATTCGAGAAATTGCTCAAAATAAAGAAGATTTCAATTTTGGAGCCTAACTAACACGAATTAATAAACTGAAATATTTTTTGTTTTATCATAATTATTTTAATCTTCATTTTTTTTTTCTTTTTAATTTTAGATTATATTTAATAGAATGACTGATAACGAACAAATTAAGTAAGCATCTTATTATAATTTATTCGGAAAAATCTCTCAATTATTTATATAGAAACTCCAAAGATGATATCGATGAAAATGTCTCTTATCGTTCTAATGAAAATGATCTAATAAATAATGTATTGAAGAATGATAGAAAAAGAGATTTTCTTGATTGTTTACTTGGGTGTGCATATGGACAAGCTCTTGGTGATGCTTATGGTTTGTCTACTGAATTCCAAACTGTTGCTCACATAAAAAATCTATATCCAAATCCTGCTGAACTCATTCCTTTTCCTGATTATATTCCAAATTCTCATGCTTGTCGATGGAAAAAAGGAGATTGGACCGATGATACAGATCAATGGATATTGGTCATGGAAGCATTAATGGAACCAGATAATAATGCAAAAATGTTTGCTAGAAAATTATCTTTGTGGGTTCGACAAGGTTTTCCAGAATTCAACGATTTCGGAGGACTTGGACTAGGAATCAATGTAGCAAAAGTAATATTCCTTTCTCTCATATCATTTTAAACATTTTATTTTTTGCATTATTTCTTTGTGAATAGGTGATTAATTCGAGTGGATATCTTGAAAATCCATTAGAAGCCAGTCGTATCGTATGGGAAGAGAGTAACCGTCAGGTCGCACCAAATGGAGCTGTTATGCGTTGTTCATCATCAGGCATTGTAAATTACAACGATATTGAAAAGGTATTATAATGTAGAATAAAATCGTGTGTGTAGAATGAACAATCATTCAATTATGATTTCTATTTTTAGGTGAAATCATCAGCTATATCGATGTGTCAAACGACTCATTTTGATCCTCGATGTGTCGCTTCATGTGTTTCAATATGTCTTGCTATTGCCTATATGTTGCAAACACCAGATATCAGTGATATCGAATCACTTATTGCTCGTGTTCAACAAGAAACATTGGATACACTTGGTGATGATCTTTCTCCTCAATATCAAGAAGAATTTCTATGGCATACAAGTAAAGATCGAACTCTGGATGATCTTGGTTTAGATGATGAGCGAGTTATTGGTTATACTTACAAATGTTTAGCATCGGGTTTCTATGGATTAAGATCGACACGATCTTTCTCAGAAACATTGAACGATCTCATTCGACATGGTGGTGATGCGGATACTAATGGAGCAGTATGTGGAACAATGTATGGTGTAAGATATGGATATCATTCATTGCCTACTGAATGGCTTCGAGCAATGCCTTACAAAAAATGGTTCGATCAAAAGATACTTCATTTACTTGAACACATGAACCTTATCGATGGAACAACATAATTATTATGCTATTCTAAACAATTTCATTTTCTTTACCTATTTTTTAACACATAAAAAGATTTTATAAGTAAATAATACAAGACTTGTTTTAATTTATTGAAATATAATAAAATAAAATAGACAATATTTTCATTTTACTAGAAGAAACTATCGTAATTTATAAATAACCGTTGATTTTGATGTACACGTTTCCAGTAAGTATAGAATCTTTCAAAAATATAAACATCTTTTAATAATGACGATGTTTGTTCTTTATAATGTAATGAAGATGCACATGCATACGCATTTTTTTGATTAAAAAAGACGACACACTCATCTGCAGATTCATAATTTATTTTAAAACGTAAATGTTGCCGTTGAATATTCAAATATTCTGCTAAAATACCGGTTATATAAACATCAGATAAATGAAAAGATTTTTGATGTCGAAAAAAAGCACAAAGAAGTTTTAAACGTGCATTTCGATTAATAATATAACCAAAACCACTCATAAAATCAGGATAATGTGTACATGGATATTCATTATCAGTTATAATATAACGAGCTTCTTCAGGCGCTAAATCAGCTGCATGTCGAACAACATGTGCATGCTGAAATTTAAAACCATAAATAACTGCCATTGAATTTAAATTTTCAACATGTTTACATTCTATTTTTTCTGTAGATATAGTTGTATTTGTAATAATATATGTTAAAACATTCGCTACAAGATACATATTTAGAAAAACATCATCATCACTTTTAATTGTTAATAATGCTTGAGAACAATATGTTTCTGTCCAATCTAATATAGCCATATCACGATATGTTGATAATGAATAATGTTGTGGTAAACGAACTTGAACAAGATCATGATAGAGTGATTGTTCAAGATTGACATTTTGAATAAACATTGCATCAATATCAATAAGAAATAAAAGTTTAAGTTTAAGATTTGCAAATTTTTCTATAGAATTTAATTGCGTAAAATCACCCCATGTACGACGAATAGCATTACGTGAACCAAAATTAGTTGATTTCGAAATAACAAAAATAAGAGCATGTGGAACAGATAATGAACAAAAATTTTCATTAGATATTTCATATGTAAAAGATGGTTGACTAAGATTTTGTGTGAATAATTCCTCAGGTCTACAAAAAAAAAAAAGATTTTCAAAGTAAATAGAAATTAATTTAACTATAGTCAATGAAGAGTACCTTAGATTATTCATAAAATGTTTGCGAATACTCGATTGATTACACGGCACTGATCGATCTATATGTTCTTCATGAACATTTGGTTTTCGATTAAGTATTTGTAAATTAAAACATAATATTACAAAAAAGAAACATGGAATACATAAACGTCGACGACCATATCGCCGTAGACAATTGATTAATGTGAAATAAATGTTGTTTAATAATTGTAAATCATGATCATATCCGCTTGTATTGTATTTATTTCTTCCATTTATCATTTGAAATAACACGAATTAACAATGATCTAAGATTAGAAAATAGAAGACGAATATATTTCTTTTTTTTCTTATATTGCATTATACAGTATTTTAACTGGTAATACATGTATGCCTATGATAAGTGAAAAGGAAGCTAATGTCGTAGATATGTCTCATCGTAATAGGCATTTGTACATCATATATATTGAGGTAAAGGAATGAATCAAGATACTCCGATATATACAAGGTAAAAATACAGTAACCATGTGGGTTATCAGACATGAAGGATAGAAATAGGTGAGCTATATGGTTTAAAAGCTACTGTATAATATATATGTACCTTAAAGCGAAGTTTTAATTTGAAAAATATTGATTTTATCTTGCTAAATTAATTATTTTATATTCATTAGAGAAAACAAGACATGTTATTTAACTTCCAGTAATAGGTGGTAAAATTAGTCGAAACGTTGAGATTGTTATTATTTTCATCAAAATCAATATTTTTCACATCAAATTTTTGTCTTACTACATTAAATATATACATATATACTCCACGCAAGTTCGTTTTCATAGCAATACAATTATATTTGAGTTTGCATACAGAACATGTGTATCTGATTGACTAAAACGTAATTTGTAATAAACAGTCATATACAAAGAAATTTTTGTATCTTTTAATCACAATTCGCTTGTCTTTAATATTGTTTTTTTTTCATGCTGGAATCAAACTAAAAGTGATTCTTGATAATATATGAAAGGTTGTTTTACATCGTATCTTGATTTCTTGTTATCGAGTCGATCGTAACCTTAAATCTGAATGAGCACATTAAGCGGGAATAGAAAAAATCAATCATGTTTGACGTATTCAAGAAAAAAATTAGTAGAGTAGAACGAAAGGGATATACATATGTACAGAATACAATTAACAAATAATAACGGTACGTCCTTCGGAAAAACAAATTTCGATGATCGATCTACTCCAAGTTACATTATGACAAACAGGTTAACATCAATACAACACATACAGTATCAAACATATTTCTTCAGCAGTTACTTTCGGAATAATATTTTTAATAAAACCTTTGGATAGATGTCGTACATATTCGAACAGACCTCTAATTGTTTTATTTGAAATTAACATACAAATGGCTACCATTCGTCATTGTTATTCTACTTCCTAATCTCTCTCAATCTTTCAGTGAAACATTTCATTTTTTTTGTGTGTTATACATTCTATCAGGTACTCGTGTTTTTCTTTCCAATATGAGCAGTCGACCACGAGGTGATGGTGATCATCGCTCAACACCACCAAATATTGATGTTATGTATTCTCTTAAAGTTGATAATTTAACATATCGTACGCGTGTAGAAGATTTACGACGATGTTTTGAAAAATATGGGCCTATTGGTGATATCTATATTCCACGTGATCAATTTTCTCGCTCAAGTCGTGGTTATGCTTTCATTCGGTTTGTATAGTGATTTCTATTTAAAAAATAATTTCTAAATTCTTGTTTGTTTACTTTTTAAAGTTTTGTGAAAAAACGTGATGCTGAAGATGCACTTGATCGTATGGATGGTGCTGATGTTGATGGACGTGAAATACGTGTTCAATTTGCTCGTTATGGTCGAGCATCAACAACTGATAGTCGTGATAAAGCACGCCGTCGACGGTAGGAATAAAAAAAAACAAACGAAATAGATTGCTTGTTCTTTTTTTTTTATTATTCATCTATTCATATATGAGTTTCCGATAAATCCATCCCGTAAACAAAATTGATTATCTCTATTCATACAGGTATTCTCCTGTTCGAAGATGCTGTTTCCTGTATTTTGTTCGAGAATAAAATAAGATAATATGGTTTATCCCGGTGTTTCCTGCATTTACCTAAACAGAGCGAGATTCCAGATCAGATGTAAGATATCTATGTATCGTCGATAAGCTTTTTACAAGTATTGACAATATCTACATCGAAGAAAATACTTTTAAATGTTATCATCAAATAAATAGACAAAAAAAACCTATTGAAAAATTCTTTCTTAGAACACGTTCACGATCAAGATCAAGATCTCGTCGACGTTCCAAACATCGATCACGTAGTGATAGTAATCGACGGTAAGTAACAAAAATATTTTTTATTTTTCTTATTAAAATATATTCTCGTGTATATGTATGTTTAGATCACGATCTCGATCAACATCACGGTAAACTAAAAAAATTTATTTCTTTCGTTTAAATTTAGAAAAAAAAACAACAAAAAATATTTCTTCTAGTTCAAAACGAAGTACTCGTCATGAAAATGGTGACCGTGATCATCGACATTAATAAAACTATTCAATTTTTTTCTTTTTGTCCTTCTTTTTTTTTATAGTTACTTGACTATATTATATATTTACTAATCATTTTGACTGATTTATAAATAAACAAAAAAAACCACACATAGTTCATATTTCAGATCGGATTGTTTTTACAATGGCTACAAATACAGATCAGGTGTGAGAGAGAAAATTGTCAATGAAAAAAATCATTCATTTAGTTTTTTTCTAGCAAAAAAAATCTCGCGAAGATGCAGATGCAGTAGAAAATTTTTCTAAAAGATATTATGATATATTAGATACACGAAGACATGTAAGGAATTTAATAATTAAAAAAAAAGAACACGAAAAAAAGTGATAAGTGAATTATTTAGAATGTTGATAAATTTTATCAAGCACAAGCAAAATTAATTTGGAATGGTATAGAAATCAATGGTCAAACTGAAATAGCAAAACATTTAGTTGCATTACCACCAACAAAACATCATATTTATGCATTAGATTTTTTTCCTATGAAAGGTTAGACAATATTAATGTTTATTTCATTTTTTTTTGTTTGTTTGTGTTTAGATCTTTTTCCAGATGAAGATACAACTTATCAAGTTTTTGTTAGTGGTGCTGTTGCATATGGTACACCAGAAAGTACAACAGTTTCAAAAGAAAAACGTCTTTTTTCACATGTATTTATATTAACTGTCGATATTATATCATCAACATGGGTTATTGCAAATGAATGTTTTCGTTTTCATGAATAATATGAACATTTATAAGACAAGATTGTTATTGCTTTTTTTTGTTGTTGTTACAAAAAATAACTATTACATTTATGAAAAATAAATATTAAAAAATGTCTGTCATTTATTAACCTTTTATAAGCATATATAATAGTCAATAGCATGATTATTTAGTAATTTAAAGAACAAAACAATTAATTTACAAAAATAAGTTATTGCAAGAATATTCTATAACACAAAACACCATTCAAATATACAATTATTTTATGTGGAAATTAATTTTTCGATAGATGTTTCAATTTCTTTTGGATCTTTAAAAATAGTATATCGTTCATGTGGTACATTTTCAAATGTTTTTATATATCGTTCGTGACATGTTAGTAGACATTCTGGTGTTCGACAAATATCACGAATAAATATATGAGCAATATTTTGTGGAAATGTACTATATAGTTTAGAATATATTTCTGGATCAAGTTCGCCTAAACGAAAAAAAACATGAATCAGTTAAATAATTATATGCATATATTTAAATAAACCTGAATCTCCAACCAAAATATATTTTCTTTCAGGATAAGCATGAATAATTGGTGTAATTGTTTCTATTTTATATTCATCAGGTGCTTTAAGAAATTTTAAACTCCATGCAAATTTTCTTAAATTCATTGTACCCATGGGATATTTATATTTTTCTAGAAAACAACGAAGTGCTGGATATCTAAACAGATACAAAATTTTGTCTAGTTTCATATGTAAGAACTGGAATTTTTATTTACAATTGCCATGGACTTGCACTAACATAATGAAATTGACATTTTTGTTCACTCCATTTTTGATACAACTCACTCATACCATCAACAGGTTTAAAATAACTATAAAATGTATGTTTTAATAACGATCGTGTCTTAAGAACATTGGAGACTTTTATTGTATCATCAATATCTGATATAATACTAACACCATGAGAAGCAAGAACATATATAGTACATTTGAATGGTTTGCAATTAGGTGAACTTTCATCTGTTTTCGATTCATTTAGTTCAATTTCATATTCAAATTTTTTATCATCCGAGTCAGGATGAATTTTTGTACCAAGTTTTTCAATATCACCAACCGATAAATCAAGTTGTTGTTCAATAAAACCACTTTCATCAGATGGTTGAAGTAAATGTTCAACACCATTGATAATTGATTTAGTTGCAACTTTAACAGAATTACCAACAAAAAATAAACCTAAACGACCAGGATTTTCATTTGATTCATTGAATTCATCTTCTAAATAAAATGATATTAAAACTTAAATTAAATTCATTTTGTTATTTTTCTTACCCAATGCATCTTCATAATTTTCATCATCTTCATTATCATCTTCATCTAGTGATTCTTGTTCTTTTACTTTATTATTCTCTTTAATAGCAATGGCAGCTGTTTGTTTTTTTTCTGTATCAACTTTTTTATTATCTTCATCTATAACTTCGTCTTCTTTTTTTGTTTCATCAGTTTTACCACGTAAAAAACTTGGTAAAGATGGTAAATAACTTTTAAGATTTTTACCTTGAAATGGTACATATAACCAAGCTTTGATATGTATTGACCAAATCTTTTTCTCTGAATCATACATAGCTAAAGTTGGAAATGGTACAATAAGTACTTGATCAGCATACAGATGATCTGTTGACCATTGTGCAACATAATGTTTAGCCGATATGATTGCAGTAGCATATTTTTTTAGATAAGAAGTCATTTTGTATACTAAATGAACTTTGGCTTTGGTAGAATAAATAGATTGTATGATTGGAAGAGGAAGAAGTAATTCTTTTTCTTTCTCTTTATATTTATTCCTTCGATTAACAGCCAACAGAGAACATTATAAGAATAGAAAAGAAAATAGAGGGACGAAGTAGAGTCTTTTTTTATTTATTTATTTCGATCTTTAGCAATTTCATCAAGTCTTTCACGCATTTGAGCACATGTTATTACTTTTCCAAAACCATGTGCTATTGTATCTAATGTCGGTTTATAGGGTGGTCCTGTACCATCCGATAAAAAGATAATATCATAGTTTTGAACAAATGCTGAACGTGTTGTTGTTTCACAACAGAATTGAGTTAAAACACCAGATATAATGACAGTATCAACATTTTCTTTATCTAATAAAGATTTCAATCGTGTTTTATAGAATGCATCATACGTTGTTTTTTCATCAAGTATAACTTCATCCGGTGCTACATCAAGATTAGGTAGAAGTTGTGCATCAAATGAACCTTTCTTTATTGATCCTGATGCACCCCACCAATTAACTATAACAGATGTTTTGACTTCATTCTCAGGATCAGGATGACCATGTTGTGAAAATATGACTGGTACGCCAGCACGACGTGCACTTGTTATAGTAGCATTTACGTTTTTAAGAATTGGATTTGCCGCACGTGTAAAAGCATTTTGCATATCAATGACTAGCAAAGCCAATTTAGAAGAATTCAAGCCACCAGGCATTATTATACATAAATGAAAACGAAATGATGCTTTTGAGTCAATCAGTGCGTATGTATATATGATTTTTTAACATAACCAATAGGAAAGGTGGGTTGTCGCTAGACACAAATATTGAAAATTGCCTGTTCAAGAACATTTAGCTACATATATATTACAGAAAAATATTTAAATAAATAGATAATAAACAAAAAAACAGTATCAGAGAAAATGATGGTATCGTCAATGATGTATGATTTAAAATGATTCTATAGCCATTTAAATTAACAAGCTGTGTTTCATCATCTAATGTGATATTTTGTTTTGTCATCGGTTCAAAAGAATGAATATTTTTGAAACGACTTTGAATTATATGAAGTGCACGAGTAATACGCAACGAACGCGGTAAAGCAACATTTGATTTTCGATCTAATCAAAAGTAAAAAATAATCTATGAATTAAATAATAAAATAATCAACGAAAACTTACGACAAAGACCAATTGGTTGTATGTCACATATAAATAAACCATTATAACAAACACATAGAATACAATCGATTTCTATTCTTGTCATAGATGAAAATGATCCACACTGTTCATTTAGAGATACTTCACAATATCTTCCTGAAAAACCTCTTCAAAAAATTCAATATAAAAAAATATCAGTTTTATTTTAATTATAACTTACTTAGGACATATACAAAATGATGAAAGAAAACATTGACCACCATTTTGACATAGAGTATTACATGGTTCTTGCTCAGGTACATAATCTATCATATACATATATATAAATCTATTTAATTATGAAAAAATGTAATTACCTTCAGAATCATTTTGAAGATAAAATCCATCTATAAATCTAAATAAAATTATTTTATATAAATTTTTATATTCAAATTGTTTTTTTACATACCTGAATAATAAGATAAACAAAAAATAAAATCTATGCATAACTGTATGTCATTCAAACAATTGAACATGATTTATATATAAAAAGTCAATGTGTGATTTATGATAAACACAATACCGGCATTGACTCAGAAGTTAAAACATGCAATATGCGTCCAAGCGAACAAGAAATACGGTTGTTTCTTTTCTACTGTCAATTGTATTGTAATTAACATGTTTGTGACTATTCGTTTTATGTAATTGAATTTCTTTTTTTTTCTCTTTCTCTCTTCACACCCACCCTGTTCTCTAACTGCTTACGTCAATGTCCAACAGATATAATTAATGAGTAGATCGAATAACAGTCACCTTCTGCTCATTATATGCGCACGAGTTAATGACATAAGAGAAACGAAAATATATATACGTGCACAGTTGGAATTATTTCAAATGAACATTTGCCGTGCCTTAAATAAATTTATTATTTATCTTCGATTCTATTAAAATCTTAAAGTATAATATTCTCTATATGTTATTATAAAATATCAAGTGAATGTAAACTATCAAACAACTATGAATACAAATATATTAGATTGTATATACATAGGTTTTTTCTCTGTCATCATGTACAATAAGAAATATGATCATTCTAATAAAATTTTTCAAACTAGTCAATCACACTTGACCTTTTATATCCAATAAGAAAAAAGAAAGAACAATAAATTTAACTCGTATATATATACAGATTGTAAATAGTATCGAGGTCAGTTTATTTCTCTTTTTATTTAGAAAGATGCGATCTAACGTATTTATTGGACTAATGATGATTACAATTCTATTAATAACTATGTCATCAATCACAATCGCAACAACTGAAATGAATATATCATCTCATCAAAGAGCAAAACGATTCTTATTTGGTTTATTCTCACATGAAGGTTCATTTTGTCGAAAACAAGGAAAACGTTGTTTTGGTATAGATTCTGTGTGTTGTAGCGGACAATGTAAAAATATTGTTTTTCGTAGTGATCGATGTATTTGATTTTTGTTTTTGTGTAGTATTTCATAATTTCAAATAAACCTGCTGTAGATCATGTGTGATTAAAACAGAAATCATTTACGTCATATTAGATATAGATGTTGGTAAGAAAGGAAGAGAAAAAAACAGAAAAATAGTTTATTTTTCCATATCCACAGTGTTTATTAGTTGGCATTCATCTTGTCCCAGATTACCACCCTTTTCTTTTTGTCTTATACACAACTACATATATCTCAAGATGATAGCAACCAAAATAAGAGAGAGCCGCCTTAAGAAGAACGTAATGTACATCATCACAGCCACGCCAAATGATGCATATGCATCGATAGAAGAGCAAAAGAAAAAAAAGAACGACGAAACACAGACATTGCTACTACCGAAAGTAATAGAAGGGAAACCACAGAAAATATATACATAGTAAGAAGAAGAAGAAGAAGAATAGTATCCCTACATTAGGCATCTTAAGGTCATATTAACTTTGGTTCATTATTATGACGGATATTGTGAGCCAAACAGTTGATGTTCTTGATTGTTATGAAGGTCGTGATGCAGCTATTACATTTACACTTTATTTATGTTGTTTAATAAGTGGGTTTTATTCACGTAAAACCAAATTACATAAATCTTTACAACGTATCTTTCATCGACTTGAAGATTGTCGTGTTGTCTTACGTCTTTATGATGATTTGACAATTCTTCGAGATTTATTTAGTTATGAATTGAGACCTGGTGTAAGATATTCGAATATTTTTTACTATTCATATAGATTTTTTTTGTAGGAACGAAATTGGATTGTTCGTTTCTTAAAATTTGCTCATTATATAGCATGGCTTGGTTATTATCCATCAGAACATATTGCTTGGCTCGGAGAAATGAAAATAATTGACATTGATCATAAATTATGGGAATTTTATACAAATTTTTTCTGGTCTACCGCTTTAATTACTTGTGCTCTCTGGTAAAGATATCCTTTTTATTTATTCTTGATATTATTTTTTTTTAGGAATGCTTATGTCGTGTTACAATATATGGTACAACAAAGTTATAGTCTACAAAGACAAGAAGAAGAGTAAGAATTGATTTATTGATTGATTTACTCTATTTTTAATGTATATAGGAAAAAATCATTTATACCATGGACAGCTGCTCGTAATGCAATGTTGGCAACGGTGCGTGATGGTACAGAATTTATGGTTGCTGTTAATTATTTACCTCGTGGTTATTTATGGGCATCAACATTAACCTATATTCAAGTGGGTGTATTGGGTACATGTTCAGCTTTCTTACGTCTTTATGGACTTTTCAATTTTGGTCATGGACATTAAGTTCTCCCTTAGTCTTTTCTTCTCTACCATTAGAGCAGATATTTATTTTTCGCAATTCAATTACGATTTTACCTTTTCTCAACCTTGAATAGACATCTATAAATTTTTTACTTCTTCTTTTTCTACTTGGATATGGAAAATTTTGCTTTTAAGATGCGTGAATGTTCTTTGTCATTTTTTATTCTGAAATATAAATGACAGAAAAAGATTTAATAATACTAAATGTTATTAGAAATATCAAGGTCCGATTTATTTCAGCTAATCTATCAAAAGAATAACATTGTTTATTGCAAAGAGAATCATGAGATGTGATTGTTTTATTCATCGTGCAAAAAAGATATGTATTTAAGATTATTTGTTACACGTGAAACGATAGTCTTTATAGTAAAGGGATAATTTTAAAAGAAATGTTTACTTTATAAGAATTTTTATAATATTGAATTGAATTCTGATTGTAAGCTTTCGTAAAAAAAAACATGACCTTTTCAATATTGACTTTTAATGTTTACTATATATCATTGTTATTATTAAATATCAAAAATATGTTTATATATGAATATAATAATTTAATATTTAATACTTTTTTGCTTATATATAAGTTCTATTCAAGAGTTAGATTATTCGTAGATTCCCAGGCATGCTATCACGTTTATTTTACATAGAAGACATATTATTGTTCCATAACCGCAGTATACAAAGACTACTGCATGACTATGTTCGTTGCAAGTAATACATAAATTAGCTGTTGATGACTCTATTTTTTGTTTCGCTATGCCTTTGTGAGTTGATTCTTGAATACCAGAATATATTGTATCATCACTAAAATGGTTATGCTTATTTATCCGACTGATTTCTTCATGTGCGACGCCATCTTGAGCGTGGGTGTAGGCCTCTATCATCCTATAACTCAGCCAAACTCGCTCGCAAGATTAAATCTATTAGAAATTTCTGCAATTGACAATGTTTTGTATATAGGTAAAAGTTCACCTTTACTTTTGCATTCAAATCTACTATGTTTAACAATGTTATCTGATTGTTTATTCTAGAATATTATATAACGTTCTTACCCAAAATGACTAATAGATATATTATGAATCAGTAAAATTGTATTGCGTGTGCTTACCTTTGAATCGAATATTCTTTTGACGACGTCCCTTCTCTCCATGTCTATGCTCCGTCTGATTGGTTCGCTACATTTTTTTTCTTTCTTTCCTGCGGTTGCTGTTTATACACTGGGTTTTTCCAAGTAACTTTTTTTTTCATATGAAGTAAGGGTCCGTATAAAAATCCACAGGTATTTGCGTACCGACACATTTCTATATAGTTTTTTTTCATGCCTCTGTATTAATGGTACGTACAATTTCTCGTAAGAACCTCTAATTTTAAGTAGCTCAGTATTTAATATCTTTTTTTACCACTATAAATCTAGTATTATGTATTGATTGACCTCTGCATAATCAATGAAATTATAATATCCATAATAGTTTCAGCAATAGCTATAATCATTTTTTCTTATTATTCATAGATGACTTTTTTTAGCATAGGACTATATATATATAATATTTGTATGAAGCAATTTATGCCAAAATTTTAACACGAATAATAACATGATTTACGTATTTCTAATGTAAGATTTATTCTTTAATTTAAATATATGTATACTATTGAAAAATAGAATATTTTTATAAAATTTATTACTTACTTTCAAGATTGCATACTATTTTGTTACAATTCGAAACGAACAATTCATAATAAGTTGATTAAAATCTCATAATATTACCATTTTTTGTACGTGATTGTCAAACTATGCATACATACTTGAGATTGTCGTAATAGTTAATTACTTTTTCAATTTTAACATAAATGAGAGTGTGAGTGCTAGGTGAATACAGTACCTATATCTACACCCACACCACGCCCTTGTCATTACAGTAAATGCTCTTTCTGTAGCTACACATGCATTTAACCATTTATCCATAAATAAACGAATTCGTAATAAAAAGTCAATTGAATGACACTGAAAATTACCAAATGATCGATTTGTAATATATGTCATTTGTGCAATGAGAAGTATTGAAATCTTTAATACAAAAATGGTTGTACTAAGTAGAGCACTAATTAATGTTCCTAATTAATATAAATCACATCTTGAGGGTGTGAGTGGGTGTGGTTTGGGGATGCCTGTTTTTACCTATACGCACTCGAATACTCACACCCATCCGACTAGACAGCATCGATTGCTGAATCTTTCGAAAAGTCTACAACAAGATTTTTGTAGAACTGTGCGCACAAGCGGTATTGAGAAAAGAGACCAAATGAAGAAGAAAATATTTCAATAACTACCATTCATTTAGTTTACTTTCAAAACAATTCAAAGCCTTTTGCAATATGTTCATGGACTGTTTGAGTTAGGAACAGTGTTGCCACTTTCTGCCGTTCGAAAAACAGAAAATGACAGAATTTCGATTGTCAAAAAGCAGAAAGTATTTTTCAATATCAAACTATAGTTTAAACTCAGCCGTAATAAAATAATAACAAAGTTTAGTATTATATTCTATATTCACGTGCACAAAATAAAAAAGAAACAAAATTAAATATTGATAAATACATTTACTGAATATTTTTTTTAAATGTATACTTTTCATCTGACCTAATAGCTTTCGATATATTCTAGTTTGATAATATATGTACATATCACATATTTTAAAGTCGCATTCAAACTTATTTTTAATTCAACTGACACTAATTCAGTTGTTATACAGTTCCGCTTTTCATTTACTAAATATTTCATTTGTGAAAATGTAGATTCAACATAAGCATTACTGCAAAGTAATGAAAATAAAAAACATAAGAGTTTTCTAAAATTTGGCGATGGAGTAAGAGACAATAATAATATCCAGAATTAATAGGATCTTACAATCTGACTTTGTCTTAAACAATTATTTTGACAAAATGATCGATTTAAATATTGAGTTTTCATTCAAAATAATAAGACAAAAAATCCAAAAAAGCAGGAACAACAGAAAAGAAGCAGAAAAACTTTCAAAAAGCAGAAGAGGTGGCAACACTGGTTAGAAAAAGGGATATTCGTGGAGGACTTTAGTGTAGTAGATATGCTGCAATGTAATCAAATGACAGAAAACAAGCTAAGGATGAATGTGTATTTAGGAGTTATGATAATGAAAGTGCACTGAATTACTCTCAAATTAGTGTAAAATTATAATGATGGAAACAGTTCAGTATTCCTGGATGGTGTTTACCGTTGCTTCATTAGTCTATCGGATGGGTAAAAGTATGAGTTCGTGTTGATCAGTGTCCAAAGGCGAGCACGGTATACCACTTTCTTGCTCAGATAAAGCAATTGAACACAACGGAATCTGGTCCGAATTTGGTTGGGATTCAGTCGGACGTGATTGACCTGAGCGGTTCACGCTGCGATCTCGACATGATTTCGCTGTGAGTAAATTTTTGATCAAGAGAATAGGATTGGTGACATAAAATCGAGCTTTCGACCGATATTCCGATTTGCGATAAAGAAACATATACGTCAAAAAACGTACGGAGAACCCGATAATCACTAGGCATAAAGTCGGATTCTCGCTGTTGTTGAAGTCAAAGGCTTTAGCAAGACCTTCCACCGATGTTCCCCAAATGTGATCCTTTGATTCGACGTCTTCCAAATAAAGTTTCGACTCTTGTTGAAATAATAGACTTTGCACATGTCTCGAAAATGAAAGAACCACAACGAAACCAAATGGTCTGAGTTCTTCTTTTGTTGGACTAAATCCTGAGAGAAGACAGGAGAAAAGAGCAATGATTGATCCTGCTAGATAAGCATATTCCGTACGATTGAAGACAACCGACATCAACTGACCGATACCCGAACATACAAACGAACAAAGTAATATCACCTGGAAGTATAAACAAAATGAGCCACGCGGGACAATCTCAATATAAAGCATAATAAGAAATGACAGTGGATAGACTATCATTCGGGGAATATCAACGAGACTCTTGGCCAACCAATATTGGAATGGATGATAATAATTGCGACTTTCTCGTTCAAATGTTTGATCTGCGATTTCCACGCCGAAGAGTCTTTGACTGGATATGCAAGTGAGAATACCAAATGATAAGGTAATCAGGAAATAAATGGTTGTTAACTTGCTTATGTCACATGTCGCTTGAAGTTTGTTTTCGAACAAAAACCCAACGCATGTACCTAGCAAGAAGTAAGCAAGCATATAGGCAACTTCGGCAACAACTCCACGAATATAAATCTGTCGTATTGATCGTCGTAAGACGTAGAAGAAAGGATACCAGGCTCGCTGTGACCAAGAATATGTTGTGAGGGATTGAGCGATTCGTTGACTTTCGATTCGATGATTCTTAATATCATCTTTTGCTTTGGTCAGCATGATAATACATGTATCGCAATCGTTATGTCGCGGTGGAGGAATATTTTGAGAATCAGGAAAGATCTTCTGTTCTAAAAAATTCTTTGCATGAGATCGTGGACCTTGATAGGCTAAACAGCACGTTCGGGTCAAGAAGAAAATGTTATCGATTTTTTCAAATAATTCATGACTTGGCTGGTGAATAACTGTAACGATTGTCACAGGTCCAGCCTTACTGCACTTGATCAATTGCAAGAGTTCGAAGAGCTCATCGCAAGACACGGTGTCCAGACCAGATGTCGGCTCGTCCAGAAGTAAGACTTTCGGGCAAGCAACGACTTCCAAAGCAACATTGACTCGTTTTCGTTGACCTATTCAAACGAGAGTAAATAGCAAAATAGTCGAATAACCTGTTTACTCTTACCGCCTGACAGCGTCTTGATGAAATCATCATGCATATCTCCTAAACCAAGCTTTTTCAAAACGAAATAGACATCATTAATTAACGTCTGCTTCGGACCGCCCAATCGTCGTGCACGAGCAGAATAGTAGACAGTCTCGAACACAGTCAGATCATTGTGCATAATATCCGCTTGTGGCACATAACCAACATAGTCGGTGAGAATGTGTGATAAAGGCTTGTGATTAGCAAAAGTGATCGACCCACCGGGTCTCAATCGTCGTCGACCGTAAATGGTTTCGAGAAGACTACTTTTACCACAACCGGAGCCACCCATGAGCGCTGTTATCTTGCCAGGAGTTATGCGACTAGTAAATCCTTGGTTTTTCTTTCTATCGAAACGTTTGACATCGCGAAGTTTAGCCTCCTTCAAATGAACATGAAGTTTAATGCATTTTTCTGGTTCGTAATTGGGTTCAGGTGGTTCTTGAAAGTATTCACTCACATCGAACGGATCGGACAGTTTGTGTTTACCAAACCATTTTTTCATTGAAGGCATCCTCTTGAAGAGTTTTTCAGAGATCCATTTGAAAAGTTTTGCAGAGATCGGCAAAGCAAAGATGATCACAACGAATAAGATCACGGCGACAGTGGTCATAACGGTAATGATGATTCGTTGTCGTTCAGCTCGACCTTCGATGCAGTCGAATACTGCTGGACAAGACAATGCCTTAGTCACTCCTGTTGGACAGAATTCAGTGGCACTTTTGCAGGGAATAATCTGTGCAGGTGTTGGACAATACATTCCATTTGGACAAAATCCTTCGAAATAGGAGCCACCACAGCCAAAGGCACCGTACTCCATTGGCTGATACTCAGGACATTTCACTGGCGTTCGACACGTACCGTTTCTCGCTGATAACTGACTGGGACAATATCCACCTTGACGACATGGAATCATACATATTTGTCCCTCAGGACAGAAGAAGCCAGGACAGCAAGCATAGGTTTTACTATCGTTTGCTGAAATGAAAAAGCCTTCTTGACATCGGTTCTTGTCACGGCTGCACGCTTCAAAATTATAGAAAGTAAAAACAGCATCTGTCGGTTTTATATAGAATGCTTTGATTATGCTGGCTGGACATAAATTTCGACTGTCGAACATCGTGTCGTTGCATTGTTGCGACGCTGAGCACCAGCTATTAAAACTCCAGTTCCATTGGTCATTGTCCGGTTGACATTGAAGACATGACAGACTACCATTAAGACGTGTCTGATTGGCTTCATAACATTTTCCTTCAATGTAGCAAAAATCTGCCTCAATGTCACATGTTGTGCTGTTTGTAATGCAGCTTCCATTACAGGTCACAGGTGGTGAGGATGATGATTGCGGTATTACAATGTTTAAGTTGCTAGAACCGTTATTGAATGAAAAACCAGCACTACTGTGCACAAGAATCAGTAGACCAAGAACGATGTGAAGCAGTGATAATATCGAAGGCGGACTTCTTTTTCTACTCATAGGTATATAACACCACTTCATAATGTGTATACCGAATTTCTAAATAGAAGAGCAGTTCAAGAAGTTTACATGTAGCCAGACGCCTTGTTGAAGATAGTAAATAAGAGAGGCGCACGCAAGAATGCGAAAAGATAAAAGGACGGGAGCGTATAAGACCGTGAAATGGTTCATTATTGTGCGACCCAATGGAATATATGAAGCGATGCAGAATGGAACGGCGAATCTTTTGATATCCAGCTCGAGACTTTTCGCAAATCTTCAAAATACTTGCGGCCCATTCCGCTATTATGCCTTTTTGGGGATGGTGAACTCCTGTATCTCGACAGTGGAGTCATGTGAGCGACTATTCGCATAGGCTCGGAGAATGTCATTGGAAATAGCGGAAAATTCTGCATCGAATCCTTTATAGACAATGTCCAAAAGTGCCTAAAGTAGCAAATTTTTAGAACTAAGAATTTGTGTGCGCTTATTATGAGGCATATTTGTGGAAGTTCTCTCCGTCCGGGAGTTTGAAAAATTCTTTTACGCTAGGGTCTCGTCCTGGGGGATCGACAGAAATTTTCATGGGTTACATGATGGTGTGTTCATCAGTCCTTTTGATTTCATAAAACTAATGTTTTCAGTCTTTGCAAATAAAAACTAGACTTTTTCATAGTATCTTTTCAACGGAAACATTATATCAGGATTCGAAAGCATTGGGCACAAGGCTTTTTTCAAGTCTGATAAAATCTTTTCACACCCCTACGAACGCCTGCGTCTCTTTTCAACAACTAAACGGACCGCTTTCAACTTTCATCACGTGCTGATAGAGGGGCTTTTAATTGATCTATCATGTCTGGAGTTCCGCAAGTATTGAACTTCTTCAACAGAACATAGTGGTCAGAATCTTTCTGCTTCAAACCAATACAAGCAAGTAGTGACAGGGTTGAACACTAGATAATCACACCATCTTGATGGTAGGTGTGAGTGTGGATAAGGGTGTGGGTATGGGTGTGAGCGAGGATGTCGGTATGGGTTTTGGGATGATATTGGATGCATTATGTCCACATCAACACCCTTCTCTATCACCGTTTGCATTTAGACATATATCCTCATAGAGCACAATTTCCGGTACTTTTTTTTGCTTTCAGCATTTTATTGAGTAACAACCGACGGTTAATTGCCAGTAATCTTCTAATTAACTGAAAAACTAGTCGGGTCCTTGTTCGTCTACTGATCACTTGTCCGATTAGCCGTCGGTTTCTATATAGTAAATGCTGAAAGCAAAGGAAATAACCGCGGTTAACCCGCTAGCTAATAAAATAACAGAAAAGAATCGGCGGTTTTTGATCAGTTCTGATGGCATGGGTTACCTCACTAGTATACACTTTGATAAATGTCTTTCGTCGATCTATCCTTTCATTGAATGATGGCATTACATGTAGGGAGTGGCATTTGTCTGTGAGATGTGCCATTTTTCTATATGATGTATCATTTTTCTATAGGATGTGGCATTTGTCTGTGTGATGTATCATTTTTCTATAGGATGTGGCATTTGT